CAAATTATAAAAAATAATAGCCAATCAAATAAAAACATGTGAATAATGTTATATAATTTGTTTCAAACAAATAAAACATCGATATCTAGTTTTAAATGCTTATAACTATTTTTTAAAAATCTGACTAGTAACTTGATAGAGCTTATCTCAAAGAACAATATTACTGGTTTAATTTTTCTAAATTCCATTTCTATAAAATGCTAATAGATTTTAAAAATATATAATTTTCAGATTTCCTGCACTATATTATTCTAAAGTGTTATAATCTTACTTTACACGTACCAAAGATTATTATTTCAAATACTAAACTGTAGTCTTAGTCGACGATTATTATTATTATTAATTTACAGTGTTGTTGCCACCGGAACATTCCGGTGAGAGTCAAAATTAAAAATTCATTGAAATTAACTAGATAAATTTATACAATGTAATACATGTATAAGAATAACAAATTGATAATTAGTTTATACTTTTAATAGATTTTTTGATGACTGGAATCTTCCAGTGGCGTTCCAGTCAATATTAATTTTACTTCCAGTGACTTTCCGGTGGGCTTCCAGTAACAACACTGATTAAATTATTATTATCGTAGAGCACAACCACGAGTATCCCCTTTACCCCCCCCCCCCAATTTTGTTGATGAGCTTGATTTTTTTACAAGTAATGGGGGGTATTTTATATTTCCCTCCAATTTTTATACATCCCTCTCGTCATGCTGTATCTTTGGGGGGGGGGTACTTTACAATTTAGTGTAAGATATCCGATATTATTAATTTCGGAACTTGATGATCAAAACTATTTACAGTAAGCAAAAAAACCCCCAATTGAAAAAGGAAAAGAAAAATGCGGCGTATGCATCAACTAAGAAAAAATAATTTAGGAAAGAATTTTGAATGATATTCCAAAAAAAGATTCCTAGAACACCAGAGATTCTTGTTTTTTTATAACGAGAGATATTTAACTGAATTGGGACTTTGAAATATCAAAAGCTCAAGCGTTTCTTATATTGAGTTTCACTTGTATAAATAAGCATCTGAGATATTTATGTTAAAAGAACCAATAAAAATGAGACGAATCTCAAAATAGTTTATATTTGAAGATATTGTTCAATTTTTGAAACTATTTCATTGATACACTAGTCCAAATGTAGTACTCTCTAAGTGCACCCCCTCGGGACCATAGTATAAAACAGGCAGTGTGCACTTAGAGAGGGTGTGCATTTATAGAGAGTAAAATACATATGTGTCTCATAACTTAGAACCAAGCCATATCGTGCATTTATAGAGGGTGCACTTAGAGAGGTTTCACTATACCACAGTTCGTCCGAATTTTGTTGAATTCGGATTATTTTCGCAATAATTCGGACGAAGGGTAGAATTCGAACAAAGGCAATATCATTCAGACGTTATCTCTAAATTTCGTCAGAATTGCTGGTGAATTCAGCAAAACTCAGACGAATTATGATACCGTATTGCCGTTGCATTTTTGGATTATCTTACACGGTAAAATGAGATACTTAAATTAGAAGCTTCAATATATAAATAATTGTCATTTGTGATTTATATAGAACTTTAAGTTTGTAGTAAATAAAAGAATTACGGATACATCACTTGGCTCAAGTGCCAAAAAGAATAACAGCCTTTTGCTTTAATATACCATTTAATTGCCTGATGAACATCTTTAGGAACACCCCAACCATCTCGATAAAAAAACGCCAACCCAAATTCACCAGTACACTCGCACGCATGTGCCGACTTTCGATACCAATATAATGACTTTTTGATATTAATCTCTGTCCCACATCCCATCCGATAACAATACCCAACGCCGCATTCACCACAATGGTCACCACCAGCTGCCGATTTCTGATACCACTCAAACCCTAATTTGTTATTTATCTCAGTTCCAAACGCTTTAATATAACACCACCCGACCTGGTTCTGTCCAAACGCGTCATTGTTTTCTGAGGCGAGCTTGTACATCTCGAATGCTTTTGTCGGGTTTTGTGGTGTCCCGATAGCATAATGATAAAAGATTCCGAGGAGACAAGCAAATTCCACATTTTTTGCTGTGTGTGAGACTAGTTTCTGGAAAATCACTTGATGCGGAATCTTGTGAGTCGTAATCCATCTCTCGATGCAGTCTAGTAGGTATTGGTCATCACCACCTGGAACCTTTACTGCTCGGAATGCAGACAGCAAGTCCGCGAGGAGTGTTTGGTCGGAGGAATCTAATGTTTCAGAGTCGGTCATTTTTTTCATAATGTTTTTTTTTTGTCAAATTATAATTGCTAAAACAAACAAAATTTGTCTTTATTCACACAATTGCAATATATCAAGATCGATATGTAATAATGTTTTTATTTTTGTACGACTTTAATCTTTGAAATGTCGTGTTGTTGATTTAATGTTTCCTATGACGTATTTCTATGTCAGCTTACATATACTGTTCATTCATTGAGTAAATGTGTGAGTGAAGTGTGTGAAGTTGTATCATAGTTTTTAACTCGGGAAATGGCTCTCGTGAGAGTATGACATAATGCGTTATTTGCAAGCATTCATGGCGTAAATTTTACTGTATTAGTCTCCTTTCAGGTATATAGTATTGTTTTGTTTTAATTTCATCACGAATTGGGGTTTTGGTAACTGGTTGGGATGTTAGCTACAAAAGTAAAAGTCTCTTTTGGATCTAAACATTAAAATAGACGTGACGATAAAATGAAACTCTTATTTTTCATTCTCATTTTCATTTGTACGCAGACAGATATTCGGATAACTACGTATTGTTCGATTATTCTCGCCTACATTCTATTGGATTCGGTTCAATATGAATTCCGAAAAAAATTTCCATTTTGGGATTTTGGTTTTAACAAACAAATGATTTATCGTTGTTAACGTTTGTATCTCATTGTTGGCGGGCGAAGCAAAACCAAACAATCAATTGTTCCATCGATTATCGACAGTTGACTGTACACGGAAAGATGAAATCAAAGCAATAGCGATAGGTTATTATGATTCTTATTATCGTTATTACGATTTCGAAGGTTTTACCTAAGAATTGCTGGACACGTGTAAAACATGCTAAAATTCTTTATTCTAAATAAAATGCAAAACAAGCAGGTCTCGAAACAAGTACGTATCTTGGATTTTATCATCGTTAGCCCATTTTTTATTGTGCCCCTGCATAAAAAGACGGCAGACATACTACCAATATGAGAATCCGACAAATAGAAAAGTTTGTATTTTTACACAACGGAATGAAATTTTATTGGTGTGTTGTTTGCAATAATGGCAACTATCACTATTACTATCGCTATGTGGAAATGAATTTGTACCATAGAGAAGAAGGGGTCAGGAGATGTGTATTATGTGTGTGTAACGATTGCAAATTAACTGTGTAACTTTTCACTGGTTTTGTGTATAGTTTGATCATTCAGTCTGTTCAGCCAGCCAGTTTTATTGTTTTTTTAGATCGATTCTGAGAATGTCAATTTACACGAACTTATTATTTTAATTGTTTCATTTTAAATATTATCTACATATTTTGTTGTGCTTGTTGATTGCTAGTAGCCATTTTTGCAATAAATAAATTCTATTACTATTATTCATAATAATATTAACAGCCGATTTAAAAAAAGACTATCAAAGTCTTTTTATCCCACAAGAAAAATCCTAATATCCCACAACTAATGTTTGATGTAAATCTAACCGCCAGAATTCATATCCATGTTCCAAAGCTTTTCGATACCACAATAATGCTTTATGAATATCTTTAGGAGTTCCTTGTCCATTACGATAACAACCAGCCAACGCAAACTGTGACACTGCAATTCCAGACTCCGCACTTTTCTTGAACCAAAAGAACGCTTTGTTTAAATCCGGCGCCGTCCCAGTCCCGTCCACATAACAATATGCCAAATTACACATACCCGAAGTATCACCTGCTCCTGCAGAAATGGTATAACACTGAAACGCCTTGTTAAAATCTCGCTTTGTCCCAATCCCATTCTGATATGACCATCCAACCTGATTCTGCGCAAATTTATCATTGTTCTCGGCACCGCGTTTATAATACTTGAATGATTTTTTCGTGTGTATACGTGTCCCGATTCCATGTTGATAAAAGAATGCCAGCAGACAATTATACTCGAGATAATGTTTTGCGATTCGATGTAGTTGCCTGAATACTTTTTTGCGATTATTTTGTGGATGATACTGTTCTAACCATGTTTCTATTTTGGCTAAATAATGTTGGTCTTCTGCGCCAGGATCAATTATGTATGACAGTGATTCGAGAAGAGTGTTTAGTTTTGTTGACTCGGGTGTTATTTCATTTTCAAGCGAGTTGCCATTTTTTTTCGACTTTTTGAAAATATTTTTTAGTGTGTCAATGAGACGACGTGGTTTTCCCCCGTAAACGCGATGGATTTCTGGTGATTTTGGAAAATTTAAAATTTCCATTTCTTGTGATGTATTTTGTATATTAACACTAATAAATAAAACTTGCACTAATAAAATACAGAATATATTACAAATATTTTCTGGGTAAAAAAAAGACAAAAGGAATGAGCGACAAGAAGAGAAGAAATCAGTCTTCTTTTGAAAGTAAGGAATAAAAAACAATATTGAGATTAATTTACTTTAATGTATTACAAAGCGATATCATCGATATTAAGATCGCGTTTTCGTTTGTTCGCTCACTCGTAATTTTGATTTTGTTTCAATTTAATTCTGTCTGTCTGTATATATATGTATATATATATATATATGAGTTAATTGGATACACAGTTTCTTATTTTGTTGATCCGTCTGCTTTTCCCTATTCAGTTAACAAAAGTGTGTGTGTGTGTATCAAAAAGAAAGACATATACATGTAAAAATAAAATGCATGATTATTTGTATGTTTCGTACTTGACCGTACAATTGGGTAATAGAAGGTGACGGTGATAGGCGCACAATACAACTGTAAATAGCATTCTATTACTGGTAACGCTAATAAATTATACTTTTCATTAAATACATCGATATCTATCAATATAAATATACTCTTATACATGTACATAAAAACTTGTTATCAAGATATCAGTTATTGTTTTATTCTACACTGTAATTGATATGGTTAGTTCCTAGATCGCTTCACGTGATCGACTTCTATCATTAGCTAGTACATATGCTCAGTAACTGGTGATCTAATAACGATAACGATCATTTGAATTTAAAATCTTAACCACCCTCGAAATCAAAGTTTGTAATAACGATAAAAATTTACCTTCACTATTTAATTGGTAGGATACGTATTAAACGAATGAACTTAAATACCAAAGTTTACTGTGAACAATTCAAAATTCGACCAGTAGATCTTGTTATATTGATATGTTCTTTTACCTTGAATATAAACATATAACTACGACTGACAACGTTCGTGCATTTCCATGTTAAAAAACCATACCCGAAACATGTTTATGTGCAGCGTGTTAAAAAAAACAGCGGTGAAAAAAATCGCATTTCTCAGTACCTATGCAAGATAATTAAGTGAAACTCAATACTTAAAATTTCAATAAGAGATTCTATCACTGTTTTTCTCTAAAACTAGTTCACATCTGTTCATGGATGTGACTAAAATTATTCATTGTCTTCATTCTTCAGTCAAAAGTAGCGGCATTCCTAATCTGCCACACGCTTTCGATGGGGTTGAGGTCTGGATTGTTGGATGACCAATTAATAACATGAATTCTATTTTCGGCAATGAATTTCTGGCAACATTTGACATGTGCTTTGGATCAAATATACTCTCATAAAATGGTGCATCCATGATATTCGTGGAATAAAACAGGCGTTTTTCTCTTTCGCGAGATGCCTCCCCTTCTGAAACGATTTTAGTAATCGCCGAATGGCTCTTTGCTGTTTTTGTGCCATCGACGAGTCTTATTCGAGAAAGATCTAATGCTGTCTCATCGATGAATATTATCCGGTGACGCGAGAATGTGCCTGTTTCTCCATTTTTTGAGCTTATTGAGGTTACGCTCAACAGTGCGAAGGGCAATACTCGTTTTTTGATGTATTCCTTTTAGTATATAAATTTTAATCAATTTATTTGTTAAGCAATTTATTGAAATTAAATATTTTATCAAACTGTAACAAATTCAATATACATTTGAAATTAGTGGAGGAAAAATTGTTAGTGAATAATATTGGTTATAAAAAACATAAAAATATAAGATATTGTTCAAGTTGTTAAATTATATAAAAATATTCATACATGCTTTATTAAAAACTAATTGTTTGAATTTTTAATTTTTCTTTTTTATATTAAAAACATGCTATTTATTATATAATTTGTATTATAAATACATGAAATTAGTTATCATTCTTATATAATATATATATACAATTACTAAAAAATATAATAAATAATAAACATATTATAAAATATATAATAATTTATAAAATAACTATTCAAATTTTAATATTTGATTTTAATTATTAAATAAATAGAATATTTATTGCTTAATTAATTATAAATCAAAAAATAAAAAACAAAATATTTTTTCAAATTATAAAATTTGATCTATAATTTGAAGTTTATTAATTATTGAATGAATATAAATTTATTTAAATAGTTTAATATAACTAATTATAAATAAGAACTAAAAATATTAACTTAATCAAATTATTTAAATTTATTTAGCACTAGATTATAAATTATAATTAATTAATATATATAGAAAAATAATCAAATAAAAATTCATTTTTTTTAATTTTAAAAAATTATAAATTTAATTACAAAATTTCTGTATTAAAATAAAAAAAAAGAAACTAATAAAAAATTTGTTTAATAACTTTATATATATAATTTATTAGTAAAACTTGAAATTAAATTTTATAAGTATTCAATTTTATTAATAAATATTTTTTATTTTTATATCAGAACAAAGATTATAAGTTATATTATAATATATATTTTTTAGATTTTTTTTGATATAGTTATTTTAAATGCAAAGTTATTCAAAAATTTTTATAATTAATTTTATATTTAATTATAAAAATTTTGTATTTAAAATAAATATATCAAAAATTCAGAAAAATATATATTACTATATAATTTATAATCTTTATTTTAATATTGTTACCATTTTTATTGATATTAAGTTCTTGATGTATTAATCACGTGTTTTATTAAAATAAGAGCGAAAAAGATTAAGTTTTTATAATGGGAGAGACTAAGATTTATCACT